GGTGATTTGAATGAGAAAGGTCCCATAATTTGAACCCGTGGTCACCAGCTGATGGTGCTGTCTGGGGATGTTTAGGAGAGGTGGCCCTTTTGGAGGAAGTACATCACTGGAGGTGGGTGTTGAATATCGATAGGCTTGCATCACTTCCTGTTTGTGTCTGCTGCTTTGTGTTTATGGTCAAGTTTTGTCTGTTCTTCATGTTTACAGCAGAAAATGTAGCATCTCAGCTTCCTGCCAGCTTAGAATCAATTTTTATTTCTTGTATGCTGAATTGTTTGGTGCTGTGATGTATGTGGCTGGAGAGTTCTTGCGTTATGGTGGACTTCGTTTAACTCATTTTTCTATGGCAACTTTATTCTTCATAGCGGTGGGGTGTTTCTTACAATTTCCAAAACCCAATTTTATGGTTTTTCACCGGTGTTTTCATTTATTATTTTCTTCAGTCCTTCGAGACATACTGCTTCGTTCCCATACTGCTTCTTTATTTTTAGGTCATGTAATCACTTAGTTGCTGCAAAAGAATTTTATCAAGATTGAACATTTCAGGTTTACAGGCTTTTAGATTGCGGGCTTTCCCATTTACCCAACACCTCCGCTTTCCACCCTGTCTTATTCTGTTTGTGGAAAAACTTACTGTAGAGTAGTTTTGCATTTCTGCTTGCATCTCTTCTGCTCAAAGCTAGTACTTACATTATTTTTTTCAACTTGGTAATTCTTGTTCTCTTAAATAATGTGAATTCTGACTTTATACGTTCATGTTTGAAAGGCATCTTCTCATGGAATGTTTTACGTCGTTTTTCTCCGGAGCTTCATTGTGGTTTCCTTAGGCTGCCTGGCACATTTTGTGGCTTTTAGATTTAACGTAGCACAGAGTCTCTGACTTGCAAAATCTTGACGTTGTTTTAAGTTGGCATTAGACGTAGCCAATGAAGTTAGATTTATGTGGAGGTGATTTATTAGTAAATGCTTCTAAGAAAAGCAAGAAATAAGACTGAAATGGGATTTGGGCCAAGCGATGGTAGAATACCAAGGGAAATCCCACTTGGGAATGTTTGACTAGAGTCTGAAGGAAGTTCTTTTGATCCATCATCATTGTAAGGACATTTGAGTGGTTGCAGACCAATCAATTAAAAGGCTTCCCTAGGAGGAATGTGAATTCCCACAATGCTCTAATCTTACACTACCTCTCTAAGGAGTAACTAGTAGCTTGAGGCCACCTTCTAGGCAAAGATATGAAGGTATACAAAGAGATAATGCACAGGAGTTGTCAGGAGTTCAAAGGAATCAGAACAGAGCAACGACTTTGCCCATTGCAGCCCATCTTCTGTCTGTGCCTAGAGCTAAATCCAATTCCAGCCTGTGTGCAGGTCTACCCCTTAGTGTGGTTGTGCTGGCAAGGAAAGAATAGCTCCGTGTCCACATCCTCTCTTTGCTGGGATATCAGCATCACCTTTATTTTTATATTAAAAATTAATGGTGTTATCTTGTCTATTTTTTATGAGCTTGAAACAGGAAAATATCTAGTTCCGTGCATTCTTCCTAGGCATAACAAGTGAATGTAGTGTTTATAACTGAAAAGGGAGCATGGAGGGAGGAAGGGAGAGAGAGAGAAAGAAAGAGAGAGAGAGAGAGAGAGAGAGAGAGAGAGAGAGAGAGAGAGAGAATTTCTCTGAATACAAAGTGATGGCATAGGAAAAAAAAAAGAAATAACTTGGATTCTTTAAAAAAAATAACTTAGCTTCTTTACAGAATACCAGCAAGAATTTAGAAGTATGATGGCTTGGCCCTTCAGGTAATGTGTTGAGCATAGACTGATTTGAAATTAGTTGTTGGCCGTATTAAATTATAAGTTAGCATTTTCTGCAAAAGCAACAAACAAACAAATAAAAAACCCAGACTCTCCTGACTATGCTATTAATAATACGTTGAAGCAAGCACAAAATGCCTTACCAAATCCACTTTGCTGCAATCATAAAGTTTCTCAACGGTAAGAAGACTAAAACTTGGGTGGTAGCAGATTTGCACTCCTTCCGATTACTTGTTTCCATACTTTCTAAATGTAGCAGTCTGAGACACACAGGCAAAATAGCACACAGATGAAATCCAGAATCTTATTACTGAGGCACAACTTTTCTTTTACAGGGGTTGATCTGATTCGTAGGGATGTTCAGGAAGAGATGGTCTGTGTGTGTGTGTGTGTGTGTGTGTGTGTGTGTGTGTGTGCGCACGCACGCATGTATGTGTGTGCGCACACGCGCATGTATGTGTGTGTGCACACGTATGTGCACCCACATTTTAAATAGATTTGGAAAAATTAGATGATCACTCATTTGTTTGTCTCTGGAGCTACAACTTAAGCAAAAGGATTTGTTTTTCTTGTTGAAATGCTTTTAAATGCCTACACTTTCTAAAAACAAAATAGCAAAATGAAGACAGAGAAAATGACATATAAACAACCAACTACCAATAGAAAGGCCATGGAGCTGCAGAACCAGACCCAGGTTAGCCATTGGCTGCTCAGTTTAACTTCTTTCTCAAGTTCCATCACTCTCTCTAGACAGCTAGCTCTTCATCTGCAGAGTGTGCGTGGAAATCACACTACACCACTCTCACGGTGTGCAGGAGGCCGGGTGATTCAATGATGGACAGGGTCCACACTAGTAAATGAAGTGACCCTGACACTACCACATCACTGGTGTTTGACTATGGCTAGCAGCTCATGGAACTTACATTTCTGTTAGCTACCTTAATGGTATTTTAGCAGCACATAGGATGGATGTAGTCTGCCTTCTTTCTGTTTCACCCCTCCCCCCATCACTCCCTCATTCCCTCCTCCCTCCTTTTCTTCCATAGGTTTATGTGTTAGATTCATATCCACGGGCATATTAAAATAACTCTCATTGCTGTCGTATGTATTATTAAATCAGGAAATACGATCTTTCTACAGCACCCAATGAAAATACACAGACGTTCACAGAAGCCTTTCCAGGTTTCAGCCTGACCCTCAGGGATGCAGTGCACTGGTATTTTAAGCAAAACTACTTCCTCTCTTTCAAGAATGGCAAAGGAAAATTATGTCTTAATTCTAGACACTATGGCGCTCTGTGAACTTTGCCTATTAATTTGCTATAAAGCTAAGCGAAAGCATTACTTAGTTTGGCATCATAAAAGGATCATACGTTTAAAACAAACAAGCTAAAATATACAAGCAAATACAATGAGAGCATTTTGCCAAGTAAAATTGCCAGCTTTCTGCGATGAACTAGGCTAACAGCTCATTCCTCACTCGATCATGGTCAAGTCCTGCCTGGGTTCAGTTAATAGTCCCGGTTGATTTTATTATGTAAAGGTTAACAATAGACAGACCAGTTCTGGTCTATTGTGAAGCCTACGTCTGTGTTTTAAATCATGTTCCTAAAAAAGCCTTTTCAAACAGACACCGGCCACTTTTACTTGCAAATGGACATTTGCTGAAGACGTTACTGTGAACACAAAGGCCTTACAAGAACAGAAACATGTCAAAAGATGCCATTTATTTTTCTAGAAAACAAGAATCAAAGGATTAATATTTTTCTGTTTCTTTTCACACAGAATGAGAGTCTTTCTGGGAAACAACATAAAACTTATTAAGAAGGTCAAACTGCCCTTTGGACTCGCCAGCACTATTGGAGCTGGGGCTTCTGCTGAGGGCCCAAGAAAAGATGTCCAGGAATTTATGTAGCACTTGAACACTTCTGTAAATCAAAAGTCTCATCAGAAAGGACCCAGACCTGCATTTATTAGGAAATCTCAGGAGTCATCTGGGAATTAAATAAATTGATATGTTTTTGAAATATTAACACACTCCTTACAACTGAATAGGGACTCATGGAATAGGGGTTCCTATCTGTTTGGCCTTAGTTCAATTCAATGTTACATATTTCAGTGAAGTCGTAGGAAGGGCCAGTGGAAATGTGAAAGGTAAAAAATCAGTTAAACTAAGAATGTCAGAACAAACAGGGGAATCTGATTGGGCAGGAGTAACTGAGGGCATGATAATTTATTGTGAAATATGACAGCATTTTGGTGAAATTGATAATGACAGAGAATATATTTTACAAAAATAATTGTAAGTACATTTTACACCTTTCAAAGGTGCTAGCTTGCGAATAACGAGCATAAAAAGAAATCTCCTACTGCAATACTTGAAATTATAGTGCACTGTAAGTGCATTGAAATGCTAATGGGGCAAGATAGCGTTTATTATTTCCAAAAGTGCATCCTAAATTGCTTTCTCAGAAGTTTCCCAGTGAGACTGATTTATCTTTGGAGAACCTAGAATTTAGTAGATAAAATGTGGCATGTAATATTTCACTGAAGACAATCCACTGCTTTGAGCATTAACCCCAAAAACAGTTTTTAATTTTGAGACCTTTACAGGTCAATTATTGTAAATTTCTGTAAATAATTGTAAGCAGTTATTTTTGTGCAACTAACTCAAATCCTGATGATTTAGACTTTTATTATTAGTGAGACACAGCCAAAACACTAACAGCAACTAAGGTTGCATGGGACTGTCATAATGGAGCAGTTAACACATGGCTATGGATTGTCAAGAACTAAGCTGGACATGAGCCACAGACCATGATAGAGTATGTGCTTCATAATTCCTGAGTGAGAGGCAATCAGTAACATAAAGACAAACAAAGAACATATAATGTCTCTTAGAAGGGAGATGTTCCTAAAGACAAAATATACACGTCTGGGCAAATATGCAATAGAAACTTGGGTTGGCAAGTTTGGCCATGCTTCATTGAAGAAACAGACCTGTGCTTCAATTTAAAGGGTGAGTAGAGAATGGGAAATGATGACGTTGACAGAAGAAGCATGATGTGTTTTAGTACTGTACCAGCCAGTGTGGCCACAGCAGAACTCGTTAGAAAGAGCTACTGAGGAAAGATTACAGGCAATGTTAAAGATGTGGCTTTTTATGTTCAAGTAACTGAAAACTTCTTGAATAGTTTTTCAGGTGTGGGGCGACATAATCAGATTTCACACCTACTGATCAGAGGAACAGCTTGTGTGAGACAAGAAAACCATGAGACATTTGCATAGTCCAGGTGCGAAAGTGGATACTGTGGGAATGTGGACAGAAGTGAACCATTTTCGATCCTTGCGATGGATTGGGTAAGAGTGCTGTTAAGATGGAGGGCCCAGGCCTGACAGGGTTATATAAATGGTGAGATAGTGCTGTCTCGTGAGCAGAGAAACTGCTGCAAGGGAGAAAAAAGGATGTGAGCTTGCACTTCATGCATATGTTTGAAATACTTTGAAGCACATATATCCATACAGAGAGCAGAATTTGGGTTTTGGAGAGGAGAAAAGAATTCAGGTTTTGGAGAAGACAAGACTTTTCATTGATTTCCCCCCTTGAATTTATATCTTGAGTATATTTTATTTCAGTGCATTCTTTTCAAATTGTATCCTATTATTATTGTGTTTGCATGTCATGAGCACACTTGGAGGTTCAAGGTTGGCTTTGTGGAGTTGGTTCTCATCCATCCACCTTTGTTAGGGTTCAGAGAATCATCCTTAGCCTTCAGGCTTCCATGGTAAGTGCTTTTTCCACAGAGCCAACCTGTCAACCATCTTTCTAGTCTTCCTCATCAGATAGCACATTTTTGTTCACAAGCAACCCCTAAGTCAACCCATCAACATGACTTACCTCTGAGCCATTGTGTTGCCTCAAAGTCCAACTTATTCAACTGACTGTATTAACCATTGTATTAATCAGGATTCTCTAGGAGAATGGAGCTGCTAGAATGAATATATACATATATATTCAAACATAATACATATATAATAAATACATTATCCCATACATACATAAACACATACTGATTAATTTAGAGTGGCTTACATGACAGGCATGGTCCAGTTAGTCTAACAATGCTGTCTACCAATGGAAAGCCCCAAGAATCCAGTTATTTCTCATCTGTGAGGCTGAATGTCTCAGCTGTTCTTGAGTATAATCAGAAGTGGTTAAATGAATGCATGACACAATTAACAAGAATATTTTATGTACATAAGAACAATATGATTGCCCTGACAGAGATGTTTTTATTCCTGGGTAAATTTAGATAATTAGAGATGGTTTTTATTTTAAAAAGAACTAAATTTATCTTTGTATTTATTTCACTTTTAATGCATTATTTTAAAAGCACCTCATCCTAAATTTCTGTATATGCTTCATGCTGTGAAAATTAAAATCTATTTAGGATGCCTTAGATTTGTACGATTAGGTATGCTCTAAAATATCTTATTATTTTTCTTTGTCCTCTTTTAGCAGGACTTTAACCTGAATGCAGAAAGATGTTTGAATATGACTCACAAAGGGAAATGTGCAATAAAGTCTGGAATAATTGTAGGGGTTTGCCCACAAAACAAACCTGAAACTCCATATAGAACAAGTCACATACTCTGATAATGTGATTGCCTCCTCTCTTAGTGGTGACTGAGAAGAATTTAGTATTTAATGAAATGCTGGTTCAGGAAATAATATTGTAAATCAGAAACAAAATTTTAAGAGGAAGTAATGTCAGGGGAATATATCAATCAAATTTCAAAAACAGGACTTTTGGTTTAGCCTGTTTCCTTCAGCGTCTCTGTATTTTTTATTTTATTTTTTTATTGATTTTTATTGAGTTCTACATTTTTCTCTGCTCCCTTCCTTTCCTCTCCCCTCCCAACTTCAACCCTCCCCCAAGGTCCCCATGCTCCCAATTTACTCAGGAGATCTTGTCTTTTTCTACTTCCTATGTAGATAGGATCTATGTAAGTCTCTCTTAGTGTCCTCATTGTTGTCTAAATTCTCTGTATTTTTAACGCTGAAGAGGTGGGGAATTTGTTTATTGCTGAATGTACTGAATATTATTCTAGGACAGCTAATTTCAGGAGACAGATGTAAGAGGACCAAGATTTAGAGACAACCAGGTTGGGGAGTAGAAATGATCAGGATGGTCCAGCTCCTAGTGAGAGACAGGTAGTTCTGTAGGACACAACAATGATTCATATGTTCATGACTTCAGAGTCTTCAGAAAAACTCCCTCTGCCTCTTGACTCCCTCTGAGTCCACCAGTCATTAAGGGGTTTGCCGTTGATTGTGGGAAGACAGTAGAGGTGAAATTCACATCACACTGGTTAGTGATGAACAGTTTCAATGACAGGGAAGAAAGGAGAGTGGCAGAGGAAGGGCTGGTTGAGAAGGAAGTAAGGGATTCCTGAAGAAAGTAAGAAGGTCTGGAGTTAGTGGGTTTGTTTTTTGAATGTCTTTAGTTTTAAATACTTCATATATTAAAAATAAAATTGTATCTAAAAGAACAAAAAACAAAACCCAAACTGAAAAAAAAAAGAAGAGGAAGTGATGTGAATAACAATTCCATGCTCTTGGGGACACTAGGATGTGACATGAAGGCGTTTAAAATTACATGAACCTATTGATAATATTGTTGGTAAAAAAGAGAGATGACTTAGAATCTGAAAAGTCTTAAGTGACATGCTTTTAGTTACTTATATACTCAGCACCCTGTAGTGGCATTTCATCTGTATTTTAATAAATAAAACTTGCCTGAGGATCACACTGGCCAGCCTTATAGATCAGGCAGTGGTAACATACACCTTTAATCCCAATAGCCACACTAGTTGCAATAGAAACTAGGAAATGCATGCCTTTAATCCCAGTGGTGCATGCCGTTAGTCCCAACCCTAGATAGAATTATAAAATGGGAGGAGACAGCTCTCAGACACAGTCTCATTCTGATGTTCCTGGAGGCAAGATGGCCATGTCGGACTGAGGTCAAGTTAAGAGCCAGTGACTGGCTGCTTGGCTTTTCCAGTCTCCAGGTTGAACCCCAATTTCTCTCTGAGTTTTATTATTCATGCTTCAGCACCCATCTACTAAACTATCTCAGCAAAGTGCAAACTTATTATTTTTCCCTTTTCAAATTAAAATAGAAAGAAAGCCATAGATACAGAGGGCAGATGTTTAGCTTCTGTTAAGGATTGAAGGGGAGGGGAGAGGCAGGGAGGGGAGTGGAGAAAAATGTATAGCTCAATAAAATCAATAAAACCCCCCAGAAAACCCAAGACTTTAGGATGATTGCATCTGTAAGAAATTCTTATAAAGCTTTAATGTTAATTTCCCAGAAATTCCCTCCGTGATTTTGGAACTATTTTGAAAACTTTTAGGATTATTTTCTTGTTTCTCTAAGCTTCTATCTATCATGAATTAGGTGTTATTGGGCCATCTGTAGCAATTCTCACCTTGCAGCTATTATTTAAATTTTCCTCTGTAGTGTGGGAAACAAATTACTTTGTTATGCTATGACAATAAATAAATGCCAGTGTGCCAGAATGTTGTTTTGTTAATATTATTTCTTGGTATTAATTCCTCAAAACTCAAATTCTCAAACAAAAACATGGTATTTTAACTGTGTTTTTAATTTTTAAATGTACACAAAATACACTCTTTGTTTAGAAATTCGGTTGTGTGAGATCTATACGTTGGTAGACTCATGTAATCACTCTTGAAACTGGATTTCCTAACACTTCCATTATCCCTCCAATTTCTGTTACCACTTTAAGGTCAAGCTATGCTTACCTTATCTTTACTCCCTGGTAACCACAGAGTACCTTGGCAGTTGTATATATTATTGCTTTTCTTACAAAAGCTGGTACATAGAATTAAACAACATGGAGCTGGTTGGAACTGGTTCCTTTCACTCATGCTCATGCTCCTGACTCATCCTTGCTGTCACTTGTCTTAACACACTGCTTCTCTTTTCCAGCGCAGAATGCTATTCTAATGTCTTAATGGTCCCCACTTTACTCATTCATGGACTATTTCAAATTTTTGTCACCTTTAAATGAATCAAGTAGAAATTATCTGCTACAAAAGCATTTTGAAAATAAATGTTAATTCATTCAAGAGAAATACCCTAGTGGATTATTCATACATATGGCAAGCATAAATTGGTTTATAGGAAACTGCCCAAGTGTTTCCTAGAATAGCTACACAATTTTGTATTCCAACCACTAATATAAGAGAATTCTGGTTTCTTTAGGCTTACTGAAGTATTTAGAATTATTAAGTTTGTTATTGTTCTTTGCTTATTTGATTGTTGTCCTTTCCATTTTAGCTGTCAATTTATTACATATTTATAAACCTGTAATAATATCTGCCTAACACCTATTTACCAATCATCAGCATCCATGCATTAGTAAAGCAATATGATATTCACTTTTTTTCTGGATGGTATTGATAGAAAGATGGCTATGAAATAGAATATAGAAATGTGTTACTATGAAATAGAATATAGAAAAGTGTTACTGCTAAAAATAAATCAAGAAAACTAAGGGTCTTATGTAAGGGTTTTTCTATCTTTATAGGAAGTATGCATATTTTGATTCTTTTAGTAAATATAAAGAAAAGTTAAGTAAGATTGTGAAAATATTAATGACTGACTGCATTGCCACATGTAGTCAATAGCAATAATGTCTGAGGTAGCTTTATTTTTCTTACATAATTTAATTTATTTTGCTATCTATGGAAAAGGTAACCTTTTCTACCCAGTTATTTTAAGTTGAAATCAAAGCTGTTGTCCTTGTGGAGTGACTTTCTGATTACTTAGACAAGGACCTTGGATGCATGTCCAAGTTGCACTGAGTTTTGTACCACCAAAGTCACATAGTATAATTCTAGAGTTTATGATCTCTTCAGTTCCCATTGGGGAGGAGTTTAGACAACTTAGGGTTTTAGGTGAGCATTGTAATATTATCAAAAATTGCATAATATGCACCCATGCTGTGAACAATGTTTAATCCTCATATTAAAGCTGGAGTGATTAAAAACCGCATGGTATTGGCATAAAAAAGACACATTGATCAATGGAATCTAATTGAAGATTCAGACATAAGCCCACACACTTATGGACACCTGATTTTTTGATAAAGAAGCCAAAATTACACACTGGATAAAACATAACGTCTTCAACAAATGATGCTTATCTACCTGGATGTCTGCATGTAGAAGAATGCAAATAGATCTATACTTATCAGCCTGTATAAAATTCAACTCCAAGTGGATAATTGGCATTAACATAAAACCAGATACATTGAACATGATAGAA